CGCTTTCTGATGCCCAGATAGAGAGCGACTGGAGGAAGAGGGAGAAGAGGGGCCAATGCAAGTGGAGGAGGAAATGTATGAAGGAAGGACGGGGTGAGGTTGACAGACGTTTATGGGGGAGGGTTAAACATTGGGATGGTGAAAAACAACAAGGGGGAGGAGAAGGAAAGAGGTGGGGACAGGAGATCAGGCATAAGTGTCAAGAGCATGGACAGAAAGATGGTTGTATGAATATGATGAGCATGTGTGTGTGGACAGGGGAGAAGAAAACAGCATTAATATGGCACATGACTGGATTCTGACATTTCACTGCCTACGTCACAGGGAGTCCAACTCCACATCTTTTCTCATACTATCCAGCAGATAGTCAACACCACGGGGATGCACACATCAAACCCACCTCAAACTAAAGGTTCATGTGAGGGACTTGGGTCAAGCTGGGATTAATGATGCAGTGACTTTGTACTGAAATCTATATGTTATTAACATACCACACAGATAAATCCATAAAGTTGGCCTTTCACTCTGCTCATCTGTTTTCTAGAATCACACGACACCAACTAACACCACAGGTCAAGCTGCTGGTGCGAGATGATAAACGGCTGTTAGAGACGATGACATTGAATAAATATAGGCTCTGTTCGGACATTGTGTTCTACTAGCAGGGATCATCTACCACACGGTGCCATGTTCAACACCTATGGCCACAGCACAGCGAGTTGGCTGGTGGCCGCCTGGTTTACCTGCTGTTTCTACCCTGAGACCGACACAGGGCTGGAGCAGCTGAGGCTGGACACAACAGGAGGAAGCACACAACAGCTTTAGCAACACAAGCTGAGACTGGCTATATTACAGGATATAGAAGGAGCACAGTTCTCACTAATGGCTGTTCATAAAGCATTTTGTGACTTCACCCCCAAATAAAGTCACTAATAACGGGCAGTGACTAAAAAGAGACGTCAGGTACATGGATATGTGTGGTTACACTTTAATCTCCTCAGTGATAACACATTAGGAAACCGGAGCAATGGCAGTGGTCTCAGGTAAATCACATGAAACAGCAACAAAATGAACATTGTTCTTTCAGCCACCGGCGTACAGACACACACAGAAGGCACAGTCAGTACGGAAAGTAGTCAGGCCCTTTCTGCTTTTCCACATAACCCAACAGGACTGATTTCTGAGACAGGTACAGATGGTACCGGCAATATTTGGGGGTAGTAGGTGTGTGTGTGTGTGTGTGTGTGTGTGTTTGGGGGCCAATCATAATTTCTTTAACATTATTTAATGAATAGTGACCAGATGTGGTTCATACTAATCAGGACATATCACAGGTGATAAATTAACCTCTCTGTGCTCTGTTGAGCTAAATATGGAACAGCCTCGCTGTTTCTAAATGAACACAAACCTAGTTTGGAATCTCTCTATTGAAATTTCTTGTCAAAGCTGCTCTGCCTAATGTCTTTTCAGCCTGGAGGCTCTAGTGAGACTCAAAACAAACTGACACCATCAGCCACTTCCAACTGCTCTGTGCCCCTCCTGTCACATCCTGCTTCCTAGAAATGACAAACTACAGATGCCTGGTTGGGACAAACTGTACAGAAGGCAGCTGGTGGCTGGAAAAACCCTTCTTCTAACCTTGGCTAGGCGGCAGGCGGGGCTGATTTACAGACCGTACATTGACAACGCAGGGTGGAGAAGCTGGAATAACAACAGGAGGCTGTAGGCAGCAGAGGGTCATGGAGGGGAGGTGTCTGAGTTAAAGCACCTTTATTTATAGGCTGACATACACTGATATATCTGCCAGAACGATTTGTTGCCTAGCTCTGCCTGAAATGAGGCTGAGACATGATTTTTGACATCGTTGTCAATGTTTAAAAAAGGGACGTGATTACTCACCTTGTGACCGGAGATCGGCAGATTCTCTCAGGTTTGTCTGTGACCCTCAAGAAGAAGAAGACAAACATATCTGTTAGGAATCAATCGGCCAATCCTGTTCACACCAACCCCCCTCCATCTCCCCCCTCCTCCCAACCTCCCGTTTTAATGTGCCAATCAGCCGCAGGGCTATGCCAACCAATCACGACACAAAACATGACAACTTATCTTCAAATCACAGATGGATCACCGCCAACCTACACTCACTACACTGGGACAGAGGGCGGACGTGAAGTCACCAAGACAAAATGAGAACAAATGCAGAGGGAGTGAATCCTGAGCAGACGTCAGTGGAGGCCAGACATGACTCACAGAGATAAAAATCTAAAGCTGGTAAAACACAAACGAATGAGTTACGACAGAACACTATGCTGGTTTAAAGAAGAAACTTCTCCTGCGTCTGTGCTTGATATTAACTGTGGGACAGCTAAGATGCTGACTGGACAATAAAATGTGTAAAGCAACTATGGCTACAACTACACCGCTCACTTGGTCTATACAGTATTTAAACATGCATGTCACCATTTACTAAGGCCCAAGGTGATGTCAGCCATCGTTTCATCATCTAGTCATACTGTATGTAGCTATGCAGTTAACTTAGAGGGTAGATTGTTATATTTAAAGTGTTGTGTGCACACAGAATGCAAGTGCTCATGGCTGCTGTGTGGCTGCTTTGGACCGAAGTACCTTTATGCTCCATCAACAGCCTACCAGACACCAGTTACTGAGTTTCCCTTTCGGCCACCAGGGGCTGCTGTTGCAGTTTTCTCTCTAAGCCGGGGCTTCTTTCCCACCAACCTGGCAACCTGATTCCAGGAACCGGGGATGGTCCGGAGCACTAGGACTTACTGAAGATGAACTGTCCTCTGGCTCTGACTCAGGAGCTGTGGCTTTAATTGGAACTAAATACATGTTTAGACTTTGTAACTGCATCGCCCTTCTTGAAACGCACAGTGATCCCCACTAATCCGCAGATAATCGCTGGGACACGCCTCAGCATTTATAAATGAGTGTTATCCAAATAATTATCAGGCAAATGTCTGGAGGGGATTTCCTGTTTGAATAAGAACAGTGACGCTCATTCCAGCGGCTGTGTTGGGAGCATCTGACTCTTGATGCCATTAACACCATTTTGTTGTTGTTGTTGAAAAGGCAGCTGTTTTCCTCTTATGTTTGAAAGCTTGCATCAATACATGGCTGCTGTGCAGCAGTAATGATGCAAAGGTTTTGCGACCGAAGAAGGTATCCCATCAGTATTATGACCTTGCCTTCCTTGTCTGCTCCTCCCTCGGCAACAACGCCTCGGTACCCTTGAGCAAGACAAGTGGTAACACATCTTTATGGAAGAATAAACGTGGGAACAAATTGGAAATGAAAACATGTGTTGTGAACAGGGAGTACGGAGCAACAGACAGGACTGACTCCTCAGTGTGTTTACTCTACAGTTGTGCGTCAGACCAGTATGAAGGCTGGAGAAGGGTAAGAAGGCAGAAGAGCTGAAGTCACAGAGAGAGTAGGAGAGGACACGGGGAAAAAGTGAAACAGACAGAAGCTGGCAGCAGCAGCTTAACAGAACCATCTGCTTGCATCTCGAGGGAGAGCTGTGTAAGAGCCATGTTTAAGAGAAGGATGTATCCTGGTGACATAACTAATCCTGATTTAAAACAGCAGGCTGGTCCAGGCTGAGACACCTCTCTGAAGCACCGGCTCCGGCAGAAGGCTCAGACATATGCTGTGCTAACGTCACACACTCAAGGCTGCAGTGATGCACAGTGAACGTTGTTTACCTTTTAACCCAGACACCTTTCTTCTCACTATTGTACACGTCGCTATTTACCACCATCACTGGACGTTGTCTATATGGTTATACAGGGCAGAACAATCTGACCCGAGATCAGCCAAGACAATGTCAAAAGAATAATGTACATACTAGAGCTGCAGTCGGCAGAGGAGTGAAGTTAACTGGCATTTGTTTTAATATTGGATCAACAGCTTTGAGTCATTTTAAAAAGCCTCCTGTTCTACGTCTTCAAATGTGAATACGAGTTAGTTTTCAGTGGTGGAAGAAGTACTGGAATCCCTAACCTAAGTAAAAGTCCTGCATTCAAAATGTGACTTAGGTTCAAGTACAAAAGTATAAGCATCAAAACATTCTTCAAGTACTAAAAGTACTAGTACTCATCATGCACAACGGCACATTTACCTTGATGTATATCGTACTATTGGATTATAGTGACTGCTGCATTAAATGTTTGAGGGGGAGCTAGTTTTAACTACCGTACATGTTTATACTTTGAATTCCTGTT